GAGGAAAGAACGCAGTCGTCTCGCGTCAAAGCGACTCAATGACGCACCGTTGTCATCCGACACCGCTACTAAGAAAGGTCACTGGTAAGCACTAACAAAGAATTCAAAATACCGAAAACTTGAAATTCTTTTACGCGCACTCTTTTGCCCTTAGTTCACAAAGAAAATCAGTTAACCGTTATTTCTAAATTTCATTATCAAACCATTTCTCTCATTTATCTCTCAATTGCCAAACTCACAAGGGATGCCATGTAACAAAACTCTCTCCTTTGTTACCAATTCTTTGCGGGGTAAGTGAGGCACTTTCGCTTAAGGCAATTGAGGGAGAAGAACGAGGAGAGGTTGATAAATAAATTATATAAAGACAGAAATCAAATCTCACTTACAACCTATTATTATTAATCATTGTTCAAACTAAACATACGCGCGCATAACATAGTCTAATTACTAACTAACCAACTACATAATAGAATAATAAACTACTCATAGTATTCACAAATGAATATTTCGCATTTCGTCTTAATATCTAATCGCGCGCTTAACCTATTACAACCTTACTTAAATTACGCGAACCTACACCGGATGAACTGCCCGGTACGTGGGCACCTGGACAATTCGCCGGTCGCAACTTACGTTACTACAAATGAAGCTTAGGCGCTAACCTTTAGATAGCCGGCACGTGAATGCCTGGCTATCCTATTCAACGCGCACCGGTCGTCGCATCACCAGAGAGAGGAAGTGTAGAGAGAAAGAAGAAAAGAAGGCTTGACCTTTATTTACCGCTTCTCGCAACGTCGTGAATCCTGAGCGATGTGCTGCCGCAGGAAGTACCGGTCGTCGTCGCTGGTCAGATCGTTGCTAGCTGCTCGTTGCTATCGGTGACCAGGTATTCGCAGGCGACGTTGACTCTCCTTGCAGGTGGGGCTGGCTGCGGTCGCAGACAAAGCTGTTGCCGGAAGGGTTGACCTACCTTCCAGCTATCCCAAACTGCACTCTCTACACTCTAGCAGGACTGGGCTTGGACTGCTGCACTCTAGTAGGACTAGGCTTCGACTCCTACTCTTGTAGGCTCGTCTTGCAGCCGCTCAGTGGCGCTCGCTCCTCTCCCTACCTTGACCTATTAGTTAGGCGGCACGCGACGCGCCGCTTATCGGTCACGCGTTGCGCGCCTGCCTATCCCTGCATGGGCCTAATACTCTCTCTCTCTCTCTCTTTTTCTCACTCTCTCTCCGCGCTCCTCAACTTTTTCTTGCGCTCAACTGCGCTGGCCCGTCCTTGGCGCTGAAACAAAAAGACCAAATGTTAGGCGCATACTTTAATGCGCCTAACGTTGGCCAACACGCCTTGCCGAGTGGAGGAGGGAGAACGCAGACGAGAGACCGGCACACGGCCTGCTCTCGTCACATGCATGACTTTACGTATTAACAATATTAGTGGAAAATTTTAGATTTCTCGGAAATTATTATCTTGCAATGCATAACTAGAAGATATTTACATCTACTTTTATTTGCATTGAAATTAAAATTAAATAAATTTAATTAAATCTTAAGTTCTTTAAGATGAAACCAATAATTTTCAATTTATTTATCTTTCAAATCGAACACGGCTAAACAGCTTCATATGACTTATCACATAAAGTGAGAGGAAGGGAGAAAGAGGCATAATATAATACGAGAAGTAAGGTAGGGAAAGGGATGAGTAACGGAGGGTCTAGAAAGAAGAGGATGGGAAAAGGAAAGGAGGAAGGGACAAGTCGACATTTTTTTTAAATGAGTTACTTTCGAAGTCAACAGTATCACACTTAAGTTAACATGTTTCAAATAGATACATTCACAGCGACTGATTCCTTAGAGAACTTAAAAAAATTATTAACCGACTTTTTAAAATTTTAACCCTCTAAAAGTCACGAAAATAAACCTTTGAATATTATTGCAGATGAATAATTTCTCGCTTTTTCCAAATCTGGTGTAAGAATTAGGGGTTTCAATTAAAAAAGTAAGGTTAACCTTGAAATGACTTTGGGGGTGGAATGGGAGTCATTCTGACCCCATATATATCTCATCATCTGAACGTACAATTTCACGTAGAATTCAAACCGACGACAAAAAATAAGATATCCCATTTAAAAAGTAATGTTGACCTCGAAATAACTTTGGGGGTGGGGTGGGGGTTATTATGACCCCACATATATTACATGAATTGAACGTATAATTTCATTTAGAATCCAAATCCTAAATAAAAATTAAGGGTTCCAATTTAAAAAAAACATTGACTTTGGAATGACCTTGACCTATCATGTTCAAGTTCAAGTTTAAATGTCACGAAAATATGGCCCCCTTGGTATTGAATAACTTTTGTCTGAACTCTTTTTCTCTACTATGCATAAAATTTGAGATATGGGTGTCCATAGATTAAAATGACTCACCCTGTATATTACTATATCACATAAATCAAATATCTGCGTAATTTCGTTTCAATGAAAATTTAGGTTAGATTATGCATACCAGTCTACTTTAGTATTCAACGTCATTCCAAATTAAACAGTACCATGTAACTACTTGAAGATTGGAACGGCGCATAATTTTGTTGACTAGTAACAATCAATTTCCAGTTGAATTTAGAAATTTGTTACGTAGAAGTAGTGATACCCTGAAAAATGTAATTTAAAGACAAATTTCACGGGTTGTTTTCACCCCATTAAAACCTTTATTGTTATATAAAATAATGTTCATCTCTTGTTTTTCTGAAAATTTATAATCAACCGAAATTCCATTGAAATCTACGTCGTTTTACTGGAATAACAATGAAAATTATCTAAGGGTAGTTTACTCCCTATACCGTATAAAAATTAAAAAAGCCGAAACATGTCAACTTTAGTTTTCAATGTCATTTAGGACAATATAAGTTTCGTTGACGTTGGATTAAATTTGTAATTTTCCGAAACAAAAAGAAAAAAATAACTTTCGCCCTCTTGAAAAATAAGATATGCCACCGCTGCGGACCTTCGTGTGCTGTATTATATTGTTATTCAGTAACAAATATTTACCAGTTGTTTTCAGGAAGTAATCTTCTAAAGGAAAGGAGATATACTGAATAAACGGTTTTTGGGGTCGAACTTTGGGGTTAGTTTTCGCTCATTTAAACCGTTTAATAGCACATAAAAAAATATGTATCGCTTATTTTTTAGTCCTCTACAAGATACATATCACAGTTTTATTGGAATCGGTTTCACACACTTCCCTTACCTTCCTTATGAGTGCATTCTTGTATGAATTCCAGCCTTCCTGATTGCCTTCCTTCTTGACTCGGTTGAATAACTTCCGGGCCTTCCTCCTTGCTGCCTCCACGTCTTTGGTTTGTCCCTTCGTTTTCAGGGAGTAATTGATGACTGCATTATGGGATTTTAGGTTTGGTTCAACAGTGAGGTCTAATTTTTTACCATAATTATCCTTGAAAGATCTCAGTCTATCCCTAAGTTTCTCTCTGTATCCAACTCAATCAGTATTTTTGGGTTTCCACGTAGGTTCCTTTTTCGGTCTCAAAGATCTTAATTCAAAAGTTATGCTTCTATGATCTAGCATTGATGGTTTGTTTTCAACTTTCCAGCCTGTTACTCCACTTTTAATGTTCATCGAGATCAGTGTGAGATCAAGAACCTCGCTTTTGTTAGATATTGTGACGATCCATTTCTGGCCCCAGTTTACAATATCCATTAGATTGCTTACTAGGTTTTCGAGTAAAGCTTCCCTTTCATAGATATCTGTGCTACTTCATGCCATGTGATGAGCTTTAGTCAACTATTTCTTTGACACAAGTGCACGTGCCTGCGTTTCTGTTGTCACTCCCCTCACATAATCTTATGTTTGTTTTTAGTCTTTTAATTCACCACCTACTTAACCAAGGTTCCTGTGTTAATGCTATGTGGGATTGTATTGTTCGCATGCTCGTTGCTATTACCGCAGAGGTGCTCTTGAAATGATGCAGATGAATCTGAGAAAAACGTATTCAGATGGAAGCCATGTTCAATGCTTCATCCTTTGCTGCGTTTCCTCTCGAGCCGTTCCTGTAGATTTGTCGATTTTGGCGTAGTCATAGAAACTTGATGGTCGCTGTGCCAACGCCTGCCAACAGTCTAAATTTACGGTTCTTAAGAGTGTCCACTGATAGTTCTTTTATGCCCACGATCAGTACAACATTGGTATCCTGATTCAGGATCGTATATTTTGCAATATTCACTCCACCATTCTGCCGATGGACCAGTTTTAGGAAATCTGTCGCAGACCCCACTTCAGCAGAGAGTCTTTTTATCACATTGACATCTACCTTCTAGACTACGACTTAACTCAGGTCCGGTACGGTCATTTTAAAGCTGCTTGAGGCGGTCCTCTTCTCATTCAGATCACACCCTTCTTGGAGTTGAGGTTGAGTGGCGTTTGCACATTTCTCTGCCCTCTACAACCTGGCCAGACCGAACTTAGTAGTTGGTTGTCCCTCATTCAGCGCTTTCTGTCTTAGATGTTTCCTCCTTTGCGCCCTACTCAGGTGCTGGTTCAAGCCCATTCCTTCATGGTTTTCTGTTTAAAGTATAAAGCTCTCTGTTTTTTTTTGTCTTCGTAGGGTCATAGATCGGTTCATCATCCCGTTTCCCTTCCTCTATGTTGGGGTTTTGTTTATGTGGAGAATTAATTTTGTTTTCACGAGTAATGTGGATCCAAAAACTGTCCACCCCACTGGTCTACAACATTAGGTACAGATTACCCTGAGGAAACCGTTTGTCGCGTAGATTCCTCTGCACGACGCATCTATCGGCACGGTATCTTACACCTTAGATTGAGGGTGTTTCTTGATTCTCAAAATATCCTTGTCCGCTGAGACGAGCCAAAAAAAACCTTCGCCTCCAAATATGTGTAGAAAATAAAACATATTATTTGTTTTGTTCAATTCCCATACGAAATCATTTCAAAATGATCATCATGATTAAAAAAAGTAACTTTTCTTACCTAAAAAGTAAGGTGCTCTAAGACAATTCAAACTAAACCACGAAATAACTTTGAAAACCAGTCGAATCGATTCTTCTGTACTGCCACAAGTATCTAAAAACATAATTTCTGAAAACAAAATAGAAAGATTAAATAATTTAATAATAATAATAAACGTAAGAAGCATATTTCATAGTATAGTTAGCTTTTAAATAATATAACTCTTAACTCATAAATGTCTAAAACATTATAAAAATTTTAGGCAAGTAGACATATGAATTTATTAACGTAACATAGGTTTTTACGTATGTATAATTTTTATTTAACAGTAAAGAAGATAAAGGCACTCAAAAGTACAGTGAACCAGAAAACGTAAAATCAATTAAATTCTTGGTAATTGACTTTATATTGTGATAAATAAAAATAGATTTTATTTATTATACAGATTTATAGTTTGTAACGAAATGTGATTTTGAGAGAGGTTACGCCGTGTATGGGTTGCAGGTTTGCCGTGCAAATGAGCACGTATTATCGGAAGATTGCCACTGCGTCATACAATAGTGCACGCTTTAGTGGCGCTCTGTGAATTTCTATAAGATTGTCCCCACAGGCAATCACAAACGCCTTCTCTGCGGAAATCCTTCTACTACCTTACCTCGGGGGTATGCACTTGCTTCCGGACAAAGTTTCCGTTGGTTGCTACCGAATTTATTCAGCAGCATCAGCTTGGAAATATTTGTACTATGTAAACTCTGCTAGCTGAAAATGGGTAAAAGCACGAAATCATTTTACCAAAACGAACGTACCGATGAGGGAAAAGGATTCTATTAATGGGTCAGTCAATGATTATATCACACAGAATTTATTACTAAGGCGTTCTTTATTGTTCTAACATTCAATTTTTGCACAATAATTATATGCTAAAAAATTATGCTATGTACCAGAAGAAATGTTTTGATCCTTATGAAAAACATAAAGCTATCATTAAAACTTGTTTGAAAGAAATTTCTCTACAAAAATGTGAAGATTTTTATAAAGCCAGTAACATTTTAATACCACCTGGCAACAAAGTGTGTGCAAAATGCGGAATATTAATTTCAGAAGCAATTACAAAGTGGGAAAACGAATAAAATGAACTTATAGATAAAGATGAATCTGTCTCTTTTACTTGTACTGAAAGTGAGCCGGATTCACAAGTTATTTCGGCAATAAGTAGTGTAGGTGATAATAGCAACTCGACTAATACGCCGACTAGTACACCGTCTACATCTGGAGGCAGCTTAGGATTTCAACCTGAAAGCCAAGAGCAAAAGCAAAAAGAGCAAAATCTAAAAAGAATTCTTGATGCTGTAGAGTTATCTTTGCCAAAACGACAAAAATTATCCGATGTAAGTCGAGAAAACTTGACTCTGGAAATGGCTCATAGTGTTTGTGAGCGGGTTGTAGATCAAATGAATGGTGTTTTTGGTACAAATGTAGAAATTCCAGAATTATCAAAGTTGCAAAAAGATAGTAAGTCGCTTGAATAAATATTAGAAAATATAAAAGATGCTTATGATAAACAAACTGCAAGTCGGGAGAGAATAAGAATTTTAACTTTATTCCCATAAAATTGGACTCATGATCAAGTTCAACAACATGTTGATTGCTCTAGTTATATAATCAGAAAAGCTAATATACAGTGCCGCTCACGCACTTTTACCCCCCCACGGGCAAAATCAGTCTAACTTCAAAGTTTTATATCTCTGGTAGAAATTAACGTACAGAGACGCGCGTGGGTGCGTTTGAAAGGTCTTTCGGAGAGCTTTCAAATGATATGATTCACGGTTGCCATCGATTGTTTTTTTAAATTTTGCAACAATTATGCAAAATTGAAAATTCTGAAATTTTTTTATTATTTTTGACAATTAGCCAATTTTGGAAAAAAAATCGTACGAAAATTTGAAGTACATCATTTTTTAGCTATTACCAAGCCCTATCTGAATCACTCATCAAAAATTTATTTTCGTCAAATATGACGCGCGCACGGGCATTTTTTCCTGGAAGTGACAGTTTTTTTCAACATTTTTTATCTCCGTCAAATTGTAACAATCGAAAAAAATTTATAGGAGAAAAAATGTTTGTTGTTTCACGTAGAATACTGCAATAATTTTTTTTTTGGTTTTTCGAAAAATTTTTTTTTTCGGTTTAAATTATTTTTCAAGGTCGAAAAAAAAAAGATTTTTTTTTTTATGTAATTTACGATACTTGTTATGTAGTATTATTGAATGGATGGAAAAAAATTTTTTTTTGTGGTTTCTCATCTTTTTAGCGTACCGACTGTGAAAAAAAAAAATTGAAAAAAACCGAAAAAAAAAATTTTTCGAAAAACCAAAAAAAAAATTATTGCAGTATTCTACGTGAAAAAACAAACATTTTTTCTCCTATAAATTTTTTTCGATTGTTACAATTTAACGGAGATAAAAAATGTTGAAAAAAACTGTCACTTCCAGGAAAAAATGCCCGTGCGCGCGTCATATTTGACGAAAATAAATTTTTGATGAGTGATTCAGATAGGGCTTGGTAATAGCTAAAAAATGATGTACTTCAAATTTTCGTACTATTTTTTTTCCAAAATTGGCTAATTGTCAAAAATAATAAAAAAATTTCAGAATTTTCAATTTTGCATAATTGTTGCAAAATTTAAAAAAACAATCGATGGCAACCGTGAATCATATCATTTGAAAGCTCTCCGAAAGACCTTTCAAACGCACCCACGCGCGTCTCTGTACGTTAATTTCTACCAGAGATATAAAACTTTGAAGTTAGACTGATTTTGCCCGTGGGGGGGTAAAAGTGCGTGAGCGGCACTGTATATAGTACGAGAAGCAAATGGTAATTTTTTTTACTAGTAAACGTTTATAATTTATAACGATTGCTAACTCTTACTTGACACACTTCTGTAAATTCCCGATATCGTGTAAAAATTTTTATAACAAATCACCGATTGCGTATTTTCAAAAATACAACTTATACAATTAAAAATGAAGACTTATATACAGTGACAAAATCAAAATATGTATAAAAAAATGAGTAAACCATATTTTTTATAAAAAAATTGAAACTTTCCTGGTTTCTAGTGTGATGTCTATAGTTTGAAAGGGCAATGGATTTTATTAAACTTAAGTGCTTAGATTATCTGGAAACATAGCTTTCAAACCTTGGGTTGATTAAAGTTGAACGGTTGGTTACCCTAGTGTGTCAAACAGGGGTTGATATGTATTCACCTATTGATGTAAAAATTGATAAATTAATTAATGCATGAATACATTTCTTTACTTGAACACTAAATAAGATTGTTATTTTTTAAATTTCGACTAAGTATTGATTTAAATATATTTGAAGGTGTGCTTGGAGATCCTGGGCGTAAAAAACCTTGTCATTATTCTGATGAATTGATAGATTCTATTCAAGATTTTTATAGAACAAATAGTAGAATGTGTGCTGGTGCTAAAGAATATGTCTCTATTTTGAACGAAAAAACTAATAAGAAAAAAAAGTACAGAAAAAGCTTCTTCTTTATACCATTAAAGAATTATATGACAAGTGGATTAACGATAATAAGGACGACCTTCAAAAATATCCTGGATTTTCATATTTCGCTAGTTTGAGGCCTAAGGACTGTAAAACAGCAGGTGATCCTGGTACTCACTCTATTTGTGTTTGTGGTGAGCACCAGAATGTAAAATTAAAATGTAGAGCATGTTCAATAACTTTGAAATACAGAGTGTTAATGGCATTGTCAGTATGTTCTGTTGAAAATGAAAGATGTATGCTTCATGATTGCCCAAACTGCCCAGGCCCAGATGCCATTCGAGAGTATTTAGAAGAAAACAATTTAATCAAAATTAGTGGCTCAGTAAAGTATTATACTTGGTTGTCAGTTGATATTAATAAAAAAAGTAATGAAGGGACACAAAGTAACAGTCGCGTAACACTGCAATCAGTGACTGAAGATGCAGATACATTTTATGATAACTTGATTATGGATGTATGGAACTTGAGGAAGCACCATTTTGTTAATGAATGCCAGAAAAATTATTTTGAATACAGAAAGAACAATTTAGAATATGACACAGGTCTTATTATGATGGATTTCGCAGAGAACTACACTTTCATAGCTCAAGATTCCACCCAGGCATTTTACTATAATAATAGCCAAGCAACATTGCATCCATTTTTGTTGTACTACAGAGATAGCGATGATAAACTAAATCATGCAAGTTTTTGTGTCGTTAGCGACTATTTAAAACATAATGCCTATGTTGTTCATCTTTTCGAACAAAAAGTCATGGAAATTTTAAAAGAAAATTTTTCGTGGATTAAAAAGCTCATATACTTCTCTAACGGAGCTCCAACGCAATACAAGAACAAGTATGTAATTTTCTTGATAGAATATGAAATAAATGAATTTATTTGAAAAAAATTTTGGTAATTGTTATTAGTATTAAATAATCTCAAATGTTACAGAAATAATTTCGCCAATACTTGTGCACATGTCAAAGATTTTGGTATTGAAGTTGTGTCATACAACTTTTTCCCCACGGCCCATGGAAAAGGACCATGTGACGGCATTGGAGCTGTAGCCAAACGCTGTGTGAGAGAAGCTTCTTTGAGGCTGCCGCCTGAACAACAAATTGTCACTCCCCTGAGCATGTATGAATTTTTGAGCGAGAACATGATTTCAACAAGGTAAGTAAAAATAATTATGATATTCATACACTCTTGAAATTAACATACTTCGAATTATCACAGATTTCTATGGGTCAATGGTATAGAATGTGAACAAAGGGAACGAAAATTGAAAAAACGTTTTGACTCAGCATGCACAGTCGAAGGTACTAGAACATATCACTGCATGAGGCCAATTGATGAGAAACACGCAGAGTTCAAAATTACCTCACTATCTGAAACATCAAAAGTCGAAACTGTTACGAAATAATTAAAATTTTACTTTGAGTTTCTTCTTTAATGTTCAAAGATTTGTTAAATAATAGTGACAGTAATAAAATTTTAATAAAACAGAATTTTTGAATTATCCAAACCTACGTTTGAAAAATAACTTTACAACAAATAGTACAACAATATTC